ACTGAAACAAAAATCGACTGAAGTATCTGACAAACTCTGTGAGTGAAAACATAAAATACAAAAGAGAAAGATTGATGTTTGAAATTTGTTTGATTGAGAGAATAAATATTTGAAAAACAATTTGGGATAATGTTTGTAATTGAAAAGAGAATTGAGTGAAATTAGGGAGAGAAGAAAGGAGTGACATAAGGAATGGTGAACGTAGGAGGAAAGAGTGAATTATGTATCTGATTACAACTACAAGTTAAATAAGGGATTAAAATATTTTTTAAAAAAATAGAAAAAAGTAGACAATGAAAAACTTAAAGTTGTGTATTTAAGTTATTTTTCCTTCTTTCTTTGTTTGACTAACTTTTGTCTTGTTTTGATTTAACATAATTAAGCTTCCCAAATGATGAACTATTTTCTTTTATGTTGGTTTCTTTGATTAAATAAAAAATTTCACTTTTGTATTTCTATTTATAAAATCTATAATCAAAACTTTTATTTATTTAAAATAGCTTTAATAAATCGTTTTATACAATTCGATTCAATTGTATATTCCTTGTCAAATCTCTTTTGTCTTTCTCTCTTTCTCATTTTATACAAATTCAAATTGTATATAATCGTTCTATACACTTATAATAATACAATTCGTTTTATACACTTCGTTTTTATACAATTCTCTGCCCAAGTATCTTTCTCTTTCGTGTTTTATACACTTCGTTTTATAAAATTTGCTTCAACTGTATATGTATAGCGAATTATACAGTTTCTATGTTTGCTATGGAGCGCAATTATGCAAATTTTGCTATAACTTACAAATATTAATTTTTTATTTGCTATATGTGAAAGTTGCCCTTCAATATATCGCATAAGAGGGATATATTCAAAAAAAATATGAATTTTTATAATTTTTTAAATAATAAAAAATTTAAGAAATGTGATAAGTAAATTGTATATTTAAATAATTTATTTAAAAGTGTAAATTAGGTATATAGCATTTTTTATAGTAATATTCTCAAGTTATAGCACTAGAGTTTGAATTTCATTGTATAACATTTAATATCTCAAGTTATAGCATTTTAAAAAAATATATAATGTTAATTTTAAATTATTAAAAAGAGTTGTTAAAATAAAAAATAAATTAAAAAAACGGACAAATTAATAATGAAAAATGAGATCTTTTATTAAATAAATTAAATATAATTATTAATTACTGTTAATAAATTAGCACGTTTTAAGGGATTTTAAATTTTTTTAGATTAGTTAGTTGCCTTAATTCTCTCAAATTAGTTTAAATAATACTAATTTTTGATTTAATTCCTTGAAAAGCTCTACCAAATTGGCATGAACGTACATGTCATTTTGTTTTCCAAAATTTCACAATCTTTTTGAGATTTGCAGATTTTATTTTCATTTTTTATTAGTAGTTGAATAAATTTTGGCGTTGAAAACAATCGGATTTGATTTGATGGAGAACAATGTGTCGATATTAATAAAACAGGGTGGAAAGTGGAATTCATCATATTAATTTTGTTATGATTTGTTGTTTTAATTATGAATTGTTGGTTTTAATTATATTTATTGTTTTGTACATGTATAAAAGTGTTCGATTTTTTTTATTATTGTTAGATCTAAAATATGGTTTGTATGTTCTTTTTTTGGATAAACAATCAAGTTACGTATGACATTTTGAAAAATGATAAGTAAATATAAATGTGTTTGAGTTGTAATTAAATTGAAGATTCGCGTGTTAGTTGATTTGTGAAGAAAATAGAAAAACGTACATTTATTAACTAGACAAATAATAATTAGATATAATTCTTTGTACAGGTGAAGAATTACAAATGTATGAATAATGTCTGAAAATTATATAAAATTTGTATTTAATGGTAAAACCTGCTCAGATAATATTCAAAAAGTAAGAAGATATAATTCTGTGTATTGGTGAAGTATGAAAATTGTATTAATTGTGTATGAAATTTATAAGAAACTTGTATTAATTATGTATGAAAATCTATATTTTGTTAAACTTACAATATATATTCCTGTTGAAATTATAATATATATTTTGTATTAATTTTGTATAGAAACTATATTCTTTTTGTTTAATTGAAATAGTGTATATGTCAGTGAATGATATATTAAATGTGTATGAAGTTTGTATGAATTATTTTGATAGGTACAGATACAAAATCAGAAATCGGTCCACATTTTAGACCGGTTTCAGCAACAAATTCTTTTAACCCAAGATGTAACTTTGTACCATTTACATTCATAACAAACATGTCATCCCTGTCATTTTTAGTTTCAAGAATAAAATATGTCATAACATCTGACATTGGATTTTTATGTCATGCAAATCATAAAAAAATTCAAACGGTGTTTCTTGTAAGAATTATTGAAACTTGTCTTGACCTAGGAAGGTCAACAGATCCGCAAACACATTCATGTTAATACATGAAGACAAATGTATTTGTATCTTCTTCTCCTATAAAATTGGTAAATTAAATTAATACATTTATCATACTATATAATGTCATATAAAATCATATATATACTGGTATG